CTTTTCCTCAAATTTTCTGAAAAAAAAAAGAAAAAGAAAAAGAAAAAAAGATATGGATTGTGGAAAGGCTTGAGCAGCAAAGGAAAAAAAAGAAAAGATCGAATTAGATCGACTTGCTTTAGAAAGACTGAGACAAAGAGGATCGCTACAACAGGAGGACTGATCAGGCAATGGTGTTTTAGAAGTGGGTATTTAGTCCTAGAAGTACCCAAGTCAAAGCTAGAGGACCAAGGAGAATGAACAACAAATTGTGGGAGAAAGATTCCAAACACTTTGTAGAATACACTGAGAAAAAGTGATGAGGAAACTGAGACAGGAGAATGTATGTGAGACTATTTGCTGCCATTTGCCTAAACTTTCCCCTTTGCCTGAGGCTATGTGGATTGTGTGGAAGAGTACCCAGCAGAGTGGCATGGGAGAGTGCCCTGTTGCAGGGAGTTCAAACAATACTCTACTGGTGGACAGAAATGGTGTAACAGGGCATAACCGTGGACATAAGTGGTGTAATGGGGCATAGCAATGACTCAGACAAGCAAACCGCATAGAGGCAGCAATGTAGCACTGCCTTTTGGTGGAAAGAACTGCCAGCGGTGCAGGTGAGCTCCTTCTTGCCTCTTTACTTCTTCAAAACAATGTGAATGGGTCCAAGCTCCTGATTCAATGACTTGAAGAGAGCTGTTTTCATCTTGCACAGGTTTAAATCAGTGCAAGACCACTGAGTTAAAAGAAATTGTTCCTAAATGAATCCAACAAAGGTGAAAAAAGGATTAGTTCATGATCTTGTCCATAGCAAATCATGGCAGCAGAGCCCATGAGAGGGACTTTTCATTCACTTTCCCTTTAACAAACTTCTCAATGCTTCTTTTTATTGTTACATTGTTTTCTTCTTCAGCAAGTGGATAAGATGGCAGAATTCCCACTCATTTAAGTATTGTGTATAAGTATTGTGTAAAATAATCTTTTCTTGAGGTCCAGAAGGCTTTTTCTCCTGCTGTGCTATACCTGTCTGCAAGCAACTCCTCTCCGGTTTCTAATTTTGAGTATTTGTTAGAAATGCTTTTACATCAGCTGGCAAGGTGACAATAAAACAATCCTATCTACAGTAGAAGGAAATGTTAGCTTCAAAAACATTATGCAAAACCAAAAGGGAAATAAGCATTAAAATAAAGCACTTACAAATATGCTACAGAGTCCTTGATGTGTCTTTCCATCATCTGAAGATGATGTGAGACAATTTTAAAAAAAACTCAAATAATATATTCTTAGGCAGATCACTACAACCTCTTGGGACTTGTCTGATGTATTTACATATGTATCATAACAGTTATCCTGCCTTTTCCTGTCTGTTGTTTTATGAGTTCCTCTACATTAGTTTTAATACTGATACTCAAAATAGCTGCCTTGGTTATTTTGTTACACTTCCCTGTCTTAACTAGTGGGCACCAGTACATGAATGAAATACTCAAGGTCATGTTAATTCTCTCTTTTGCATCTTATATGGCTTTTTATAAAAAGATAAAATCGATTTTCAGAGTCAACATGCTATTACAGTAAAGCTTCATCTCAAAGAATGGCAGTATAGTTGAATGGAGTAACCACAGTTATTCTCTAATAGGGATCTCCCTTCTGATAGGGACAGGTAATGCTGTGGTTTTCCCAACTCCAGACACTCAAAAATCATGGGTTAAGTCCATCCTCAACACATCCAAAATAATAACTAAAAAATGCCAACATCATTATTTTTTTTATTTTCCTCTTGGGTTTTGAGGCTGTATATGTGCTTATAGCACACTTTCAAACTATTCTTTTCAGCCTTGAGTACTTTTTTTTAGTTTTTAACTAAAAACTGGAATTAGGTTTTTGCTCCTCATCTTCAAGAGCTGAGGTTTAAGAAAATGCATTAAAGAGAGGAAGGCCCCAAATAAATTGCAGGAGCTGTGAAGACACATATAAGAAAACCATGGAAGATGTAACATGCATTTCTATATTATAAAATAGAACTGTGGCACCAAGAAAATTATGCAAAATTTAAAGAATGAAAGTTAGATATTGTTAGCTGATTTTTAAAAGGAATTGTACAAACATTCAAAGTGCCAATGTTTGACTTCAATTTAATAATTTTAATAAAAAGCAGTAAGAAATATGTTTCTCATTTCACTGCCTCTTGCTACTCATACAGGCTAATTCCCACTCTTCAATTACAAGATGTACCTTCGTTATTGTTGATGTATTATATTAAACAGTAAGTGTCTTATGTTAATATTCAGAAACTTGTGGTTGCCAGGCATCCTCCTTAAAGAAAAAACCTAGAATGTTCTTTTAATTAAACAGTTGTCTTCAATATGAATAGTTGTCATAAGCTACTGCCATTACCCAAGGGGTAATGTTTCCAAAGATCATTATGGAATTATTGAATAAGAAACCCTACACCTGTATTGAATAGCATATGGAATGCATAAAAGCAGTCAAATTACCAAGTAGACAGTTCTCTAGTGTGGCCCCCGAAGAGAGGAATTCTATAACAGTACTGAAGAAACTTTGGGGAGTTTCTACAGTTTCCCATTGTATTCTGTGAAGAAATAAGACAACCACCTTTATCATTTGTATCATCTGCTCTTATTACTGTAATACTCATCTTTTGCCCTCAGTTTTTCCATAGTGTTTATTGCAGACATTTGAGTCATCTTATTAACTGGTCTATAATAGTTTGATGAGGAAATGATGCTACTGCAGAAATCTAAGCAGCTCTCAGTGAGAACCAGTGGCAAAGGCAGAGTAGGTACTGCCTCTTGCTATGAATCCAGAAGCTCGGGTTTGAGCCATGTGTCCTGCAGTGAGGGCAGCAGTGAGGGCTGTCCTCAAGTGACCCAGTGTGGAAAGGGGATAATCTGGGTTAGGTAATTCAGGGTAGCTGGAGAGGCAACTGCCCTGTCACTCCCTTGTGCATCACTGACTACACAGCAGATATTGGCTCACCTTAACCACACCTGATCTTGGGCGAAGAGGACAGATCTCAGTGTAATGAATCTAGTCTTGCTCAGTGCCTTTGGGCCGTTTCTTAAAAATCTGAAATATGAAACTTGACTGTGAACTTCACAGTGTGTAGAAATTTTCCTTGTGTGATTGACTAAAACAGAGCGCTCATAAAAAATACACCCAGCTTCACATGTTTACACCTGGGAAAATAATGGGAAGGTATTTCACTGCATTTTCCTCTCTCTTTCCCAGTTCTTCTTTGGCTACTGTAGTAATATGCAATGAAATAATGATCTTATGGAAATATTGTGTCTTGGAAAAAAAAAAACAAAGAATGCTTTTTAACAATGCGATTCATTATTTAATCAAAGCAAAACTAACGTGACGGTGTCTCCAAAGGTAATTCAGTTCATCCTAAGATAAATACCTAAGACAAGTGGGATAAATTGCCCTCTAGATATGTCATTCTTTTTCTATTGCCTCCTGAGGGAGCCCAGATGACTAGGCTAGAGTATGTGCCTAATTTCTAACAGGCTAAATTAAATCAACAGAATATTGCCCTAGATGGTTGTGTTAGAAAGATCATATCTTTGACGTCTCACTGTATTCAGTACAACTTTGACACCAGAAGGAGCCTTGAGTTCAGTTTGATGATGGAAAACCACTCCTACTGTAAACCTAAAAAAGATCTCTAAATCATGCAAAATGCTGTAAGACAAACAAACAAAAGCTCCCACCATTTCTTTTGTCTTCAGAAGACTAAAAAGGCTTCAGATTGTCTGTTTTATAAAGTCTTAATAATTGATGCAAGTACGATTGTCTGTTTATAACGCTTTAATAATTGATGCAAGTACATTTAATTGTCCTGGTGCTTCTGTTTATCTGTTTTTCTCAGCATTTTACCTGAAAAATCACCCTAATGGAGAACTGGGCAGAAAAATATATTTGGCAGGAAACTGTGGATTGTCAAAGAGCTGTTATCTTAACAAAGAAAACCAAACAAAAATGGAGGAAAATATAAGAGACAGGAATGTCAACTCCTGCTGCTCCTTCACCAAGATTATTACCATTAGAAAGACCACTTTCCAACACAGCAATGAGGGAAATAGAGTTGAAATTTATAATGCTTCATCTAAAAGGAAAAAGACTTCAGATGCTGTTAAGAAACATATGTGATAACTTAAGAAAGATAAAAAAACCTACCTTCATGATATGAAGAGTTTTCATTATGCAAAGATATAAAGTCACCACGAGGCAGTTCCTACCTTAACTCTAGTGAAGAAGAAATAAAGAGAATTTAAACAGAGCCTTAAAAGTGTCTTGGACTGCCTGAAAAAATATCATAGTTTAAATTGCTATTGAATTTCTTACCCTTTCAGATGCCTGTTTAGACACTGAAGAAATCCTTAATGTGGGCAAGTATTTGTAGCTCTTCTGTAAGACAGAAGATGAGATATCTCCACCACATTTAAAATTTTCTGTTTTTTCTAGATATGCTTCTTCCACCAGTTAAACTAAGAGAGAATATTGACCATCATCTGAATAGATATGAGCAATGTAGGAGAGAAAGAGCAGTTCTCTGCAAACTCCATTTCCTACCTTACATTACGTATTCTTGTTTCTTGGTCTCTGTTCCTTAATGTCTGCTGAAGGAGCGTTAGGGTGATTGATGGAATTCATTTGCAATTAGAAAATCTGAATTTACTTCCCAGATCTGCCAGCAATTTCTCTGTGTGAACATGAACAAACCACCTAAGAGCTGAGGTTCAGGTCCATTAAACTAGCATAAGTCTTCAGAGCTCAGTTCTGAAGACCTTGGGACAGTTCGGCTGTGTAGGATGTGCTTGGGACTATCGTTCTTTCCCCCCTTCATGTTGATAGATAAATATTTGCATGGTTCCTGAATACTTTAGGCAGTGTCCAAGAGTAAATAAAAGCCATGCATCTATCTGGTGATAATGTGGGTCATGCAGACTGGCTCTTTTTCAAGGCAAACAAAACCTCATAAACACTACAGTGACTGACAAAAGAATGTTTCTTTATTACATATGCTAAAATAATCTTTGTTCTTTTTTTGACATCAGTAAGATAGTACATATCTCTGTAGCTAGCAATAAACATAATAAATGGTCATAATGATACCTTGTTTAAGTTTTCCTGCGTCTTCTTTTCCTTTCAGGATTGATTCAAAATTAACATTTTTTCCCACATCAGCCTAGGAATCAGTTGTAACATTTAGCCAAGTAAAGTAAAAAACAAGTTTAAAAGTATTAGTTCTTGACACTAAATTCCATTAGGTTTTTAGAAGACATCAGAGAGCATATCCAGTCTAACCTCAAAATGCATTCTAATTAAATATTTTTCTGTACAGAATATGACATATCACCACGTACTTATCCTAGTAATAGACCTTCCCCAGAATCACAACTACTTCTAGTTATGACTAGTGTTACAAGATTATTTTTGGATTACAGCAACAAGAAGGATAATTATTTGATATTGATAAGGAAAATTTACTGATTTATGAATCATAAATCAAAATAGAACATTACCCAGGAATTTTAATAAATGAATAAATATTCTTTATTATCTTTTACATTTATGTTTCTTTAAGAAGATTTTCATATTTGTTCTGTCTCATCTTAATGTGTTTGTCTGCCACATCTGTCCCTAAAATTCTAATAACTTTTGAACCTGTTAACTGATTTCAGACTAATTTGACACAGAGGTGGAAATTTCATAAAGAAATTCTTAAGTACATCATTAAAATCTGGCTGGGTAGAGGAGTATGTGTCCTAATGAAAGGTAAATTACCATTAGAACTTATACTTGATTAAGTACCAAAGAATTAAACCGGGAAAGAGCCCTTAGAAGTCCCCTGATGCATGGAAGGATTCAGTCAAATTTGGCCCCTTCTTGATATCAGATTCAATTAATGATGATAATGATGAGCTCTGAGAAGAGAAACACTTGATTAGCCCCAGTGCTTATGGAACAATGTCTTTGTTTACTCAAAGTCTGTAGGTGCTTACACCCTGATAAGAGGACAGTAAACTCAAGGCAAACTCATTTCAATTACCCTAGTTGAGGACCCCATATGATCTCTGGCTTTAAACTGTCACTGACTTCATGCAGTTTCAGACTAAAACGCCTCTCTTGATAAAGTCAGGTTTTTTAATTAATTCTTCTTGCTTGAAGCAAGTTTTCTTTTTTCTTAACCTAGATTATTGTGTTAGAAACATTGAAATTAAATGAGATGAGCTTTGAAGGCTCTTAAACCTTCATGAGATTCCACTGGATTTTACACATGCATCAAATGTAACGGCCCAAGATATGCAGCAAGTCTGACTTGATTATTTAGAGATCTCTTCTTGCTTTAAGCTTTACAAATTTAGGAGTTAAAAGCGGCCTTGACTGTGTCCTGCAAGTCATTAGTACAGAATATGCAAAAGAGCTCCATTCTTTTCTGATTGTAGAAGACTACAGATAGCACTTACTCCTAGATCCCTCACTTTTTATCTACTAGGCAAAGACCAGCTATCCGCGTGGTTATGAGGAAATATAGGAAGATAATTTAAATGACCTTGGCACCCATGATGTGAGCCAGCTACCACTTGTGTGCATTGGCAATGGAGATTAATGCCTGTTTAACATACACAAAAGAAAAGCAGGATGCTGTGGTTGAAGTGCCAGGGGTTAAAACACCCAAAACTGGGGCTGGAGTGTATTGTTCTTTAGTAATGCAACAGGCAAAATCTTCTTAAATTAATTCAACCTGAATGAATACAGCCATTTGTAGGTAAGGTATGCCAAGCCCAAAATATGAATTCATTTTTACTTCTTGATTCACCCCTACTTCAACTAATAAGGAAAATGTAAAAATGTTTTTGAAAGTATCAGAACATTTTGCCTAATTTTACTTACTATAGAGAAAAGCTACAAAAGTTATACTAGAAATCTGAAACATTCATTCTGTAAGAGTTACATTTCCTGTGAATGAGAATAAAAATGGGTCAGATGTGTACATCTGAGTGAGAAGAACAGGAAGCAAATGGGTAAAAGTGTGTTTTGCTTTCTTTAATGAGATGGCCACACATACCTATATTTCATGGATTTTGCTTATTAATATTTTAAAAATTCAGGTTTTGGTAGTATATATACATATACTTTTTATACATAAAAAGTTTTTATTTTAAATATGTTCATAT